ACACGTTATTCCCAATAAAGTTATTCTCCATCATCCTCCATATTTAATGTTATCCTCACATCAATCAGCTTCTCTAGCACTTCATCAGTAACTTGTGCTTCATTCAATTGGTTTAGTCTCGTTTTCAATTGAGTTAATGTCAATGATTTCTCATGTTTCATTTGGCGAAACCAAATCTACAAAATGCTTCTCAATCGCTTTAGCTTGTCCAACAAAAAAATTTCACCCATATCCCATAGTCGTTTGACTTCTTGTTCCAAGACTCTTTAGTAAGCCAGACAGCTTCAAATCGAAAATGCCAGTGAGGTCCAGAAGAACTAGAAAAAGCGTCAGGATATAATAGGAGGGGATAATGATCGGATATCGAATGCTGAAGTAGATCAAGTTTGAAATGTGGAAATAGATCCCACCATAACCCATTCGCCACCCCTCTATCCATACATTCTCGGATATTAGTAGCTTCAAACTTTCCTTTTTCCCATGTAAACCACTTTCCATTATAACCGATATCACTAAGTCAACAATTGATCAAAACTGCTTAATACACATTCATTTGGTTATCCGTACATAGAGAACCTCCTGCTTCTCATGATTAAGCAAGATTTCATTAAAGTCTCCAATAATTATCCAGTGCAGTGCCATCTATGTCCATCAGAATCCTCATCAATAACTACATCGATATGTCTCGCAGAGTAAGATTGTAACCATATCCTACAGTCATTCTTCCAACCGAAACTCAGACCACTACTCCAACCAATGACTGTCCTAATCAATAACTACATCGATATGTCTCGCAGAGTAAGATTGTAACCATACCCTACAGTCATTCTTCCAACCGAAACTCAGACCACTACTCCAACCAATGACTGCCATTTTAATTCCATTCGGAAAATCACAAATACAACGAACATTCTCCATACTAACTAACTGTAACTTAGTCTCCATAAATAAGAGTATTGAGGGGTTCGCTCTTTAACTGCGTGTTTAAGACGCCTAATTGCTCGAGGTTGCCCCAGGCCTCGAACTTTACAGCTAAGAAGTTTCATTGCTCCTGGCTGACTCGCTGAGCATGGCCTGCCGATATAATTTAACTTTGTTGTGCCAACCTGTGTGCAAACTCCCCTACCCAGCACCTTTTCCATGATCCATGACCACCTCTTCCCGAACTTTAGGCCTCTTTTTGAGCTCCGAGTCAGTAATCGGATTGTCCTCTTCCAAATTGTCCATAATAACATCGAAGTCCGTTAAACCAGACGTACCTTGGGCCATGCCGATTAAGGCCTTAGTCAGTTTCTCCTCTTGGCCCACCACAGGTTGAGTAGATTTGGCTACTTTTGAATTCCTGACTGACGCTAGACTAGGATAAAAGATCTCCCCTTTTTTGTGATAGAATTTAATTCAATTGGCCAAATCCTATAATTTACGTTGGTAGAGTCCCATGGAACTTGGATTTCGTAATTAACATCTTCCCTCAACCAGACTCTCCCCGATAGAGCAGCCTTTCTCGATGGCACTCAGACAGATCCCAAGCCATCGAAAATTCAATGTCCCCATGCTTTGCCTGTATCGGGAAAAAAAACTCTCATCATGCCCTAACTTATCACAAACAAAGCAAAATAAAGTCGATTTCTCATACTTGAAACGAACATAATGATAACTACTATCCTTCAACTGAAACTTCTTCTTTCTTTTCAACACCAAAACGAATATCCATCTGAACTCGAATCCTCGTGATTCGTTTATACCCGAGTGCTATAGCGTTAGTATCATATTCCACATAAGTACCAATGAAGTGTCCCAAACCCTTCGCTATCTTCTCCATCATGAAACCTAATGGAACATCCTGAACCGGAACCCAATAATTTTGATGAGACAAAGGAATTGTTTTAGGGTCTTCCCCTTCTTGAATCATGTGCAATATCAGAAGATGAGAGCTGAAATTCCACGGACCCCGCCTCAATCCGATCCACATCCATCTCAAGGAATAATCAGAATATGAACTTGTTGTTACCTAGATATGAGATTGCAATGCCCCCCACCAAATGCCAAACGTTTGCTAAAGTCGAACGCATTGATTGGAAATTAACCACGCTGGATGTTAAGAATGTGCCCACGAAACAAAGATCATAAGAAATATATGTTTTTCCGCCTCATCCCCCGCATCAAATATCTCCTCCTTCCCGGTATGCAACTCCAAACTAGCAAGTTCATCACCAATATCCGCCATTGAAACAACTTTGAAAAACAAAGAGAATACCAAACTGAAAACACCGTGTCAAAAGACAGAGAAAGCAGGTCAAAAGACAGATTATTTTTTTAATTTAGTTTCGTCTCTATTTACAAGTGTTAATAAATTCGATAAAATCATCAATATTATATGTGACTTTTAAATTTAAAATAAATTCTTTTTCAAATAACACAATGATGACTTTAATAAAATTGTAAATATTTGATGACAACTTTGTTGTATACTATTCATTTTAACCTATTTTTTCTAAAAGTTTTTTTTACATAGCCTAAAACTTTGTTTTTTTTATTTCACATTATGAGAGAGAAAAAAACCCTTGTATTCTCATATTTATCCCATAATTTCAATGTTATTAAAACCGGATTAGCACAGAATCGATAAAGAATCGGAAGAACCGACTGAAAATCGGGAAAATTGGGGTGAACCGACTAAAAACCAGGAAAATCGGGGTGAACCGGCAAAACCGGTTTGAATTGCCGGTTCACTTTTTTTCTTTAAAAACAATTAAACCAAACGACGTCGTTTGTTCAACGAGCCGAGTCAAATTCAAGTATTGCTGAGCTCGACTCGAACTCGAAAACTTTAAAAGTAAGCTCAACTCGACTCAAAAACTCACGAGCTAAAAATTATCAACTCGAAATATAATATTAAAACTTGAAATCAAAAAGGCTCGAACTCAAAAAAAAATTAGAAGTTCGATTGAAGCCTAAAATTTGAGCTCAATTGAAGCAAAAGGATAGTTCGCTTTGTGCTCACAAAAAGGCTCCATGATTTTGAATGTCAAATTACCTCTATTATTTATAGAAGTAAGTTGAGATGCTCGTCTATGTTTCTTAGCCATGTGGGATTGTTTTGTTCTCATATTTTTACATTTTAAACTTTTTGGGATACTATTCTATGTTTCTTAGCCATGTGAGATTGTTTTTTTAAAAACAATTAAACCAAATGACATCATTTGTTATAATTTTTTAAGCCCCAATTTTATTTTTTTATTATAATTTTATAATTATATTTATTATTTAATATGTTTTACCTTAAATATTATGTTTTAGTTAATTTGAATTATTTTTGTTTCACTTGATTTTATGGTTTTTCATTTATACATGTTATGTCTTGTGATATTTTTATACCTTTTAATATTGTAAACTTAAAAATGTATTACATATATATTAATATTGCTTTGAATATTATGTAAAATTAAAAAAATATATTATTTTATATAAAATCCGATTCAACCGTGGTTGAACCCGATTAAACCAATGAACCAGTAAACCAGTACCTTCACCGATTCAATGTCCGGTCCGATTTTAAAAACATTGCATAATTCTTAAAAATTCAATTTCTAAGAGTGGGACCTGAACACGATCATATTGACGTAAGGCTGAGGAGAAAGGCGTGTGGAAACCACATGGAATGTCGGTTCCTGTAGTGAACCAAAGACATAAATTTTCTTATGCCGGCTCGGCTAAATCTTTTTAGTTTATTTAAGATAAAATTTTGGATCGAGGAATTCAGGTGTTCTTAAATATTATAATACAACAACAACAACAACAAAATCCTATTACCATATGTAATGGGTAAGGGGAGGTAGGGTAGTAGGTTGTCCCCCAACACCAGGTTGAGAGCAGCTTCCGTGGAGGACCTCCGACAGTCAAAAAATTAAAAATAAAGATAAAATACAATGCATACTTAAATAAATAAATAAAATACGTAGTTGAACAATCTTCATATGCAGTCCTCATATGCACGTCTGTAGTGGTAAGTAATCCCTGCAAATAAATCCCTATATAAAAATATCTGCATATAAACAGAAACGTAAGACCCGGCCAAAATTATAAAGAGGAAACATGTTGAGCAGTATACACAAAATTCAACGATAGCAGGCTTCGAGAAGGGATAAAGTCAAATGGGTTAGAACCTAAACTAAGACAACACTACTCCGCTACCTTAGTTCTAGGCCTTCATAAATTCCAATGACAGAAACGTATAAAAGTATAAGTAATGAAATACTACAAAGGCATTAAAAGAAGACAAAGATGATACACGGATGTGACTCGCCCTACTCGGCTACCCTGGTCTTTAGTCGCCATAATTTCCTATCAGAGGTCATGTCCTCGGTAAGGGCTAAATCCTTCAAATCAGATCTCAAGCAGTCTTAAATATTATAATAATATTTTTTTATTAGTCTGAAGTGAATATAATATAATATATGTTGAAAGATTTTTAATCATTTTATATCGAAAGTTCATACCATTGTATTAGTGATGTTTGAACCTTAAACCTCATACAATAATTGTTTAACCACTGAAACTGCTTGATGATAAACTATAATAATAATTATATCAATTAAACTAAGGTTTCGAACAAAATAAAAGAAGTTTAACTTAATTTTAAGTTTCATCAAACTAATTTTCTCAATATTTCTCATCTTATATCATGGAATGATTTGAACCGTGTTGCCTTTACAAATGCACAAAAGTAAAAGAGCATGTAAAGTGAAAAAATAAAGTGCGATTAGAGAGTCCAGTGCGGTCGCATCGGCATCTCAAACCATAGCCACATGATAGAAATGCTTTCCTTCGCCTTTTTTCTATGCTGCGAGTTAACTCACTTTCTCTTATTGGACCATATTTTGAATTATGTGCATGAAAACTCAAATATCTGAAGAAAAATTGCTGAAATGGTTATCATTTCGTTGGTTATGTAGTAGCATTGTTTTAAATTAATCGATAAAATAAAGCTAAAAGCATGATTCATTTCATGTTATATTGTATAGTCCCTTCAGGGAAACAACAATGTACAATCTATGGTACAAGGGAGGCTGTTATCCCGAACAACATAAACCTAAACAGTTTCATGGTTCAACTTCATCAACAATAAGGAGAATTTCAAGGAAAAAAAGTTATCCTCGCATGATCTATGAGATGAAAGATAACACTGTGTAGCTTTGACTTGCAAATATGTAGATTTCGGACGGTCGGACCAGCTGCGTTCTATGGTGTATACAAGTATGTAGGCTCACTGACGTACAAGAGAGTGCTTCGTTTTTTAGAATATTGATCAGTTCCCATCATCGTATTAGAGAATTTGTTGTCATTCGTGCGATGACTGCATTTTTCTCACTTTAACTTCCAGTGACCGAACAACGCTTGGATAGTTCTATCCTGAACCCAGTGGGAGGGAGAGCATCGCCGCGTATGACAAGGTAAACAATGAATGCCATATATGCAGCGGTCCATATACAGATCAGTAGTCCAAACAACAGCCCCTTGACTTCGGAAACAAAGAAATCAAACAAAAGATACCCATTGATTACTATTACAAGGGCAGCCACAGTCCAGGCCAGTCTCTGCAAAATAACATAAAAACCATCAAATTTAGCTGTGTTTTTTCTACTGATACATGCAAGCATTCATTGGATATTAATTCGCTTAATATCATCAATCGCAGCAGTACAAGCAGATGCAAAACTGTAGACACCAAAAACTAGCTACAAGTTTCCATTTCCGAAACATGGAAATCGGAAAGCTGTCTAAGATTTTATGATTGCAAAATATACTTTGCAAATGAATAAACAACTAAATGGAAGTGCCTAGAGAATAGCAATGAACATGTATGTCATAAGGTAATTTAGGATAACACTCCAACAAATGTCAAGAATACTCCATCCCATACGCTTTCTACATGTACGCAAGCATACCAAATATCAGCCAGTTTTATTCCTTTCCACCGGTTGGCCTAGGCCCCGGCCAATAACAGTGATGACAAAATGAGGGCAACGACCCTCCAGATGAGTAAATGAATACAGAATATCAGTGAAAGGAAATATTAGATGGGTCCTTTGGTTGCAAGTTTTGCATTACTTGTACCAAAACTTGATAAACTATAGGTCTCCATGATAGAAAATCAATTCAATTACTTGTGTTTAAAAAACAAACTGGTAGATATGGAGAACAATAAAAGTGAGGCAAGCAGCCATGGAGATGGGAACATAAACTTCTGGCAGTTGACCATGTTTGTTATCATGATCTATTCACAATCAAAATGTCAAGAATATTTATGCTAACATATACAAAATGACTCGGTATATATTTCAAACATGATAACTGCAGATACTTCTAGTTATTAAAACTAGCAGGCCAAACTAAACTACCAACAATAGTCACTAATGTGAAGCAACAGATAGTAGAGATAAAACTAAAGACAAGTGAAACAGAAGGCGTACCTGGAGAATATGCCCAATCCTAAAGACCCCCATGACCTGCTCCTTAGAGACCAAGGTTAGAAGTGGTATGAGTGCAAAAGGAATCTGTATTGACTGAAGTACATTAAGCCATTCATTCAAGGTATCCAAAGAGGCTTCAGACGTATTAAAGACAATCGCTACAATAATTGTCGGCACAATTGCAAAGCTTCGTGTAATCAATGCCCTCAACCACTTCTTCAAACGAAGATTGAGGAAACCTCCCATTATAAATTGGCCAGCATATGTCCCAGTTATTGTACTGCTTTGTCCAGCTGCTAGCAAACCGATACCCCATATGTAAAGAATTGGGAAGAGTCCTCCACCATACTTCTCCTCAAGATACTGCCCTGCGTTTACTAGTCCTATGTTATTCGCTTGTTTTGTACCATAGAAACCCTTGGCAAATATCGTTGTCACAAACAAATTGATCATAAAGGAAACCAGAAGCGCAATGGATGACTCAATTGAGTAGTAGTTCAGTGCCTCTTGGACTCGGCCTCTCTTCTTCGGATCAATCTTTCTTGATTGTACCAATGCAGAGTGCAAGAATACGTTATGAGGCATTATAACACAACCCACAACCCCCACAGCTTGCCGAATTGTTTTCGAGCCAATTCTAGGAACCAAAATACCTACAACAATGGCAAAAAAAAAAAAAAATGATACTTAAAAAAAATTAACTTGATAGTGACTGATTATTGTTTTTATTTTTAAAAAGAAGCCAAACCTATTAGTAATTCTTTCCCACTGGGTTTTGTATCACCAAACATCCAAGCAAATGATAAAGCCATAGTTGCTATTAAAACAGCAAAAACAGCTTCTAGTTTCCTGACTCCATAATTCTCCAGGAATAAAAATATAAAACTGTAAACAAAGAGAGGGTGGGTGTAAAACTTGTTAGAGGTGAAATAAACTAGTACAAGTTTAAATAGAATCTGACTTGACCTTCCCCAGTTAAGTACCAGAAACCCGAACTTCAGATTCAGAATAAACTAAATTTATATCACCCCAGATAAAGACTTTTACCAATCCGATGCTGTAATTAAGACACCTGCCCATAGCGGCAAAGCTCCTTTACTCAAAATTTGGATAGCTATAGCACTCCCAATAACCTCTTGAATGTCAGCTCCAATAAGGGCCAATTCCGCCATGAACCATAGCACAAAACGAGCACAAGTCGGATACTCCTCCCGGCAGAGTTCCGCTAGATGCCTGCCAGTAGCCACCCCGAGCCGAGCCGATAACAACTGGATCAGAAGGCCCATGACGGTAGCCCACATCAACAACCAAAGCAGAGAGTAACCCGCAATTGCACCAGCCTGCAGATCACCTTCCAAATTCCCCGGATCTAAAAACGCTATACTCATCAAAAAACCCGGTCCAGTAAACATCCATAGCTTCTTCCAGGAAAAGGGAGGTACATAATCGACGTTTCCGATGGATTCCGGGGTTTCCAAGTCGACAATGACGATTTTCTCTCGGGATTCGAATGCGACCTCGTTTTCATCATCGAACGACGGGGAGGAAGGAGGTTGGGATGGTAGGAGGCGTTTGGATTCGGATTCCTCGGTGGTGTCTTGGTCCTTGTCCGGTTCTTCTTTCAACGAATCCTCCTCTCGGGTTGGGCAATTCATCGTCGAGGTGAATTGTATTAGCTTGTTTAGCTGCCGCCGGTACTCTTCTGTTCGAGTGGTAAGCTTTACCGTCGAACGTGGTAAGGCGTTGAAACTTCTATCGGCTTAAATTAAATTAAATACTCTACTCTATTCAAGCCAGCTACGACCGTCTCGTATTAGATCAGGTAAGGATTATTTTTATATTTTATATTAAATTTCGTTCTAACTATATTTTTATCTAATTTTTAATTATTTTCTTATAATTAGTTTATAATAGATAGAAATATTGCGTTATAAAAATAAATTAAGACAAAGAAATAGAGCTTCACTAGCTAATTGTGTCTTAATTTGTTAATAATCCAAAATTTTAAAAATAAAAATATTTAGATAAAAAATTGTGTTTTTTATCTTATTTTTGCATACAGTGGCTCTAATTTTGATGTTGTTCGTCGATTGCCAGTGTTTTTATACATTAGATTTTATTTTTTAAATTTCTAAGAAATCTGTATTTATGATATTTTCTTTACTTTTTGAAATGTTTTCTATTTTTTATTTGTCGTTTGATCATTTATTTATTTATTTATTTCTCATGGATGGATTTGATATCACTTTAACTTATCAAGATGACACATATTTGTTATCTTATTTATCTCCCTTAACCCCGAGGGTAATTTGGAGTGTGTCATCACCCTACTGAAGGGTGACGTCATAGATTGGTGGGAGACCATCGAGTTGGCCATGGAGCCTGAGAGACCGAGGTGGGAGCACTTCTGTAACACCCCAACCCGTACCCGACCTGAAAACGAGTCTGAGATGTCACATTGACTTTTAAAAACGATATTCATACAAAATATCAAAACTTTTGAACTCATTTTAAGAAAATACCACAATATTCTATCAAATTATGTTTCGTATAAAATTTTGAGTCAAAAACGTATTTATGAACAATAAAATACGGTATGAGCAACACCATATAAACAGTAATGAACAGTACCGTGAATAATACCGAATTCTAAAAAAATTTCCATATTGTTTTAGGGGAACTGATTCCCCTGCTACAGGGAATCGATACCCTGCTACAATATTGCTACAATACTACTACAGTACTTCCGTAAAATACGTATAAATTCATAATTATCTTAGTTTTTATCCGTATAAAATTTCCATATACAAATACACATTTAAATCATTACTAAATTCAATCATATGATTTTACGAACCAATAAAAACATTTCAAATTCAAATCTTTATTACATGCCAACCACTATCATTATTACAAAATACATACTATTTCATTCTTTTCTGATCTAATCTTTGGAAAGGAGAAACTGACCTGTCTTGCATAACTCTTGTTAATCTTCCTCTTCTCAATACCTACGCGTGAAACAATCACACGCTAAGTCGTTGACTTAGTGAGGCATATAAAACACGTAACATTACTCTACTCATATCAATGCATAAATAATTAATACTATCATATAATATAGAAACATATATCATCATTTATCTTCTTCGCATTGTCCTTAATCTCTTAGTCATATGCTCTTGTATCTAATATTCTTAACCAAACAATATACACATCATCATATAATTCTTATAACAATTCATATCATCAAAAGTATATACATCACATATATTATATTTTTGTTATCTCTTTAATTAGCTCATGGTACACTTGTGAGAACTAAGAATATGTGAGTGCATTGAGGTTGTGCACAAATGCTGTCACTACAGCTCGTAAAATTCCCACTAGGGGCACTGAAATTTGTCCCGAAGGACCACTATGTCCCGTAGGACCACTGTATTGTCGTGAATGACCACTATGTCCTGTAGGACCACTGTAACCCTCGACTCTTGGCATGCCAACTATACCACTAGCTCTCATATCACATAACATGGGCAATATCATTTATATCATTTCACATATTCACATGCACATTTCACTTTTCATATGATGTCATAATCATATGTCACTTAGCTTATAACATTTCTCTTGTATTCATATGACATGTAAATCATTGTCATATCTTGTTATCATATGATTCACATACATCACTTATCACATATACTATATTTCACTTATCACATATACTTCAATATCATTTGACTTATTTCACTTTATTACATTAAAGGTTAAACATATAGTCTTATGTTCATATAATCTCATTTTACCTTATCAGTAAATACTACTTATTTTGTCTCATCTTTTCATTTATTTACATAAGCCATTTAGTACTTACATGAACATATTCACTCATATAATCAAGCATACACACATTTCATGTCATTCATTTCATTTTCTATATCCTTATCACATAACTTATTTTATTTCTCATGTTCTTATGCAAGCACACATATATATATCATACAATGAATAGCACATCATGTTAAACATATCACATATACATATAATCATGTAACTCATGTCACATACAATGACATTTTAAGAGTTACTTCTTACCATAGTAACTCCGTCACTGGCTCATCGCAAGCCAATGTTCATTCTATAACATAAGCACAATTAAATTGCACTCACCTTAGTCTTTCTTTGATTCGACCCTAATTCTTTGATTGTTTCAGAATTTGTTTAGGCTCAATATCTACATAAATATAACATTTCAAAACAATTATCAGAAGCCTAAACCTTAAACTTGATGTTAATAACTTATGTTGGTTTAATGAACCAAAATTCCATTTTTTCTTTAGGGGGAATCGATACCTCCAGGGGGAATCTGTACCCCCTGCGTAATCTGGAAAATCTAGAATTTTACTGTTTAAACCCGAAAATCATCAACTCTTCACTCAATTCTTGTATTTTAAGCCCCTATCATACCATTAAACTCAACTACCATCACTTAAACCAACTTATTTCCATATAAACCATATTTATCTTCCATATCTCATTATGATTCTTAAAATTAAGAATCATACCAAATTTTCCACATGTTCTAAATTCAATTCTAATATTTCATACTTCTTTATTTCACTTATGACAAGTTAAATTTGACTTCCACTTCTAATTATAAACTCTATTCCAAGATTTCATTCAAAAACTCAAAATCTTTAATCTCTCATATACCTTTCATTTTGTTGTTTTAGAACAAATTAAGTTTTCCTTAAGCTTAATTATCATCTAATGATCATAAACCAACTTTTAAATCAACAAATAACCAAGAAATCAGAAACTTACCTTTGAGCCCGGGAGATACGGGAGGAATAAGAAGAAGGAAGAAGGAAGAAGGAAGAAGGAAGAAGGAAGAAGGAAGAAGGAAGAAGGAAGAAGGAAGAAGGAAGAAGGAAGAAGGAAGAAGGAAGAAGGAAGAAGGAAGAAGGAAGAAGGAAGAATGAAGAATGAAGAATGAAGAATGAAGAATGAAGAATGAAGAATGAAGAATGAAGAATGAAGAATGAAGAAGAAAGAGTTTTAAGATAACTCTTCCCCCACCCCCACGTGAATCATATTTATTAAGGAAAGAAATATATTTCCTATCAGATGACCATTTTTCCATTTAATTCCTTGGATAATTACTAACAACTTTCCAGAAATATTCCCAAATAAATTATTGAACTATTCAAATGTTCTACTTTAATCACCAAATTCTAAAATTTTACAATTTAGTCACTAACCCGTAATTTGGGATGTTACAACTTCTTGTTCGAGTTTCAATAGAAGTATATTGGGGAGGATCACACCGAACACTTGATAGAGTAGTTCCTCTATCTGACCTAGGGAGACATATCAATGTTTGAGTATGAGAGGGAGTTTCTCAGACTAAGTCGATACGCTCTAGATTTGGTGGCATCTGAATACCATTATTGTATGAGGTTCAGGGAGGGCCACAATCTTAACATTCTCACCCACCTATGATTTTTACCAAATTAAACCGTTAGGCAAAAGTGATCGAGAGGGCTTTGAGGATGAGGTCCAAAGCTTCATTTGCTATATCAGGGTAGAGTCAGAGGATAATAGAGTCTTCAAGACCCACTCAGGAACTGACCAAGAGGGTTAGAGATTCTTATGGTTCATGGAGGACCCCAGCGAGCCAGTCTAGGAGACTAGACCAAAGCATGGACTATAGAGGTAGATCAGGGCCCCGTATGAGACCCTTGTCGACAACGTTAGTGGTGAGTACTAGCGGATCTGTGAGTACGTCTTACCCATCCTCTTAGACATGCGGGAAGAGAGATCTTGGAGCATGTCATTTTGGGACTAGAGGATGCTTCAGTTGTGGCTCGTTAGATCACTTCATCAGAGACTACCATGAGGCATAGATTATGACCCTAGAATCGACTCAAATGTTAGTTAAGAGGGGCCGGGGACCCTTGAGAGGTGGGAGTTTCATTGTTTGACAGCACAATAGAGGCACTACTAGATCTGTGTCCGGTTTAGAGCCTTGGCTAGCCTCCACTAGTATGTCGTCCAAGCTGAAGAGGAGTGTCATGTAATTTCCATGATCTCATGTACTTTTTCTATGTTTTAACATTAGTAGACCCATGATCCACCCACTCCTACATATGTTATGACTTAGTCCAAGAAAGAAACCTTCCAGTCGAGGACTTAGAGATAGAAGTCAGAGTGTCTAGTCCTCTTGGGTTAGACATTTTGGTCGAAAAGATCCACCGCCGATGTCCAGTTAAAATTCAATGCCAAATTTTCTCAACCGATCTAATAGAGTTTCCATTTAGAGAGTTCGATTTGATCTTGGGCCTGGATTGGCTTTCGGAGCACAACGCTAGCTTAAGGTGTAAGGCTAGACAACTCAAGCTCATGAAGAATTATGGAACCAAAGTGGTGATGTTTGGCGAGAAATCTAGGTGCTCAAGGATCGTTTAGGCAGTAAAGGCTCAAAAGATGATCGATCGGGACTGTGAATCCTTTTTAGCTCATGCGATCGATGCCGGTGTAAGGCTAGACAACTCAAGCTCATGAAGAATTATGGAACCAAAGTGGTGATGTTTGGCGAGAAATCTAGGTGCTCAAGGATCGTTTAGGCAGTAAAGGCTCAAAAGATGATCGATCGGGACTGTGAATCCTTTTTAGCTCATGCGATCGATGCCTAAATTTCTATCCCCACCATCAATGATATTCGAACCGTTAGTGATTACCCTGAT